TCTCTTTTATTTCCCCCCCCCCCCATCTCTTTGCTCCAACAGTCTTCTATAAAAGGTGAGACTCTTGAGGTCAAGGCAGGAATAGTGAATAGTGTTTTATCTGCAGTTCTGGGAAGTCTCTCAACCTTGATGAATGGGGCAGGGCTAAGCCCTGAGATATTGCACATCAGTGTGAACAGCTCCTCTCACTAACAGAAAGATACAACCCAAACACTAAGGAATTTCAGACCTTTTTTCCAAGTTGTGTTGAGAGGAAAATGATGTAAAGTGCTCTACAAGGGGTACTGTCCTGGAGCAGGCACAGTTGGGCAGCTGCACCTGTTACACTACAAGGTGTGTAACAAGAAACACTTTTCAACACTTGTTCAACTGCTACTAAACTTCCAGACCAAGCCTAAAGCCCTAATTACCCCCTCTGTGTGTTACATTGATGTTATACTGCCCTTGTTTACACTGCTGTGTTACATGTATAACACATCTGTGTTTTCAACATTTCCAGCTGAGCCTCCCACCAGCTGAAAAGTCACCACTGTATTGATGGCAAAAGCAGTGAAGTTACAGCATCCAATTGTCCATCCAGGGACACAGACACAGGGAAGCAGAAAGCCAGACCATGGGAGCCTCTCTAGAATGTGTGTGTGCAAAATGAGTGCTGCTCTGTAAAGGGTACATCTACATCAGCCACACTTGTGGCAGCAAATGGCAACCAACTGGCACACAACCACACAAATGACAGCCAAATCATAAGTATTTAGGAGTATTCAGCAAGGGTTTTAAAAATAACTCTGTATATATTGAAATGAAATTAAATATTGCAAAAATCAGTTGCTACTAATGCCTATATATTTCTGCCTTCGTACATATATATATTTGTTCTGTAAAATCCATATTAGTCTAGAAATAGAGGATGCCTTTAACTGAGTTCTTTCAAACAACTGACATCCCCAATCTTTCAATGGGTATTTGCAGACAGGTAGCTACTCTTGGGAAAAATAGTCATCATCTCACCCACTTGGTACTTCTTTCAACAGAGTTATTTTACCTATTATTTACAAGCATTTGTGAAATTGAGAAAATATTGGAAAAAAGACAATTGAGAAAATCTCAGCCACAAGCACTGTTAAGAGTGATGGTGTAACAAAGGTCAGGAAGCACTTTATGTAATTTAAGATAGGTTTAAAGAGAATTCTATTTGGATAACAGTAGAAAAAAACCTCCAGGGCAGGAAGTTTATGTCAGAACTGTCCAGCTGCCTAGAGATACTGTGGCCTTTGCTCCCATCCTGTCATTAAGACATGCCTCTATGAAGTGTTGCTGAACTACAGGCAATAGCAAAAATCACAAATAATAAAGCAACACATTCCATAGTCAATGGTGTGACTACTGGAAATGAATCAACAGTGATAAATGTGACAATCCTTTCTTTGCTTTCAGCACCTGTGCTTCCCATCTTGTTCTTATTATCACTGGCGTATTCTTCTAGTTCCCTTTTCCACCTGTTTCATTTAACCTTGCCTGATTTTTTAGCACTTGGTGATCCACAGAAGGTGCAATTTCTCACTTTCCAGCTCTGTTAAACTTCTCCCACTCTGTGCTTCCCACCTCACATCCCTACAGAGTTTTCATGGCACTGCACTAAACATAGAAATGGCATTTCCTGGAGGTTTTCTGTGAGGGCTCTCTTAGCACCCAAAACCTTGGATCCCTTTTTAAAAAGTTTCTGCTAAGCTCACAATTAATTGGGGAACACACCGTTAAACTTCTAACAAGACAAAAAAAATATTTTTCAAGATATTAAAAAAAAAAGATACTTCAAAAAGATAAAAGTAAAACATGAGATTCTGATGTTAGCAACTCTCATGCACATTCCTAATTTTAAGTGCTTAATAGTCATTAACTCTACTGTGACTAGATACTGTGAATAAATTATGGGCATTAGGCAATAATTTTTAAAATTAGTTTTATTGTGCCTCAGCATAAAATAATTCAATTGTTCCCACTTTTCCTCAAGAGATTTCCCTTTTTCCGCTGACAAATGCAGACACAATTGAAAACTTCTTTGCTTCCCTCTTAAGCAAACTGCATCACTATCCAGGCTGCTCTGGTAGGCAAACTAAAAATGCAGAGCACAGGGCCCATCAGACCCTTAAAAACAACACCTCTGAATTACCCAGACGATGCTGGCAAAGAAGTACACGGCTCCTTGCAGCCTCCCTGGGACAATGACAGCAAACCCTCTCCAAATTCACACATAATCTCAACCCGCTCCCAGGCAGTGCAGGTCCAGGAAGGGCAAGTCCTGTTTCTCAGCAGTGCTCCAGAGTTCTTTGTTGGGAATGAAAACAATATCTTACAAAGTGAGCACAGAGCCTTCCTGCTGTTTTCTTCTGCCGCCGAGTCTTGCTGGGAAGGGCAGAGGAGAACGTGGCAATAGAGCCAGACTGGGCAAAGAGCCTGAAAATCAAGTGGATGGGAGAAAACATGCTGCCCTTGGGTGTGAAAGATACTTTTGCACCTTCTGGTGGTTTGCAGCCAAGCTGAGAGGGAAAACATAAATGAGCCACACAATGTAGGGCAGACACAGGGTTTCTCCCCCACTAAAATATCTGATTGGAGGAGGGTGACAGAAGATGTTTAAGAATTGTTTTACTGTTGCAAAGGTATAACCAGGGATGATACACTATGAAACTGTAGTATTTACATAGAATTGTATAAAGAGTATATTTTTCACAACTTTTTTAGTCTAGCTCCTAAGAACATTTTCTTAAAAAATTCTCTGACTGGAGCTGTAGAGTTGAGAAAACTGTTTCAAAGTCTGGTTCTTGGGATTTAATGGGGAATGCAGCTACACCCCCAGAATGTTCCAACTTTTTTTCTTGTTGCAATTTAATACATTGAACATATTTCTTCTTCTTTAAATCAAACACTTACTGTAGAAAAGTAGGACTGAAAGCTGACTTCAGAACAGGAACTGGGCAGCTATAACTAACCAGGCACTGCAATCACTGTGCAGCAAATGGATATCAAAATGCATCAACAATGTCTTTCTGCCCAAGTATCTTTCATGAAACTGAAAATTTTGTTTATGCTCCATTTTAGATCTGGTTCATTTGGTGATGAAAACTCTCCAAAATACACTGGACAGCTTGCTGCTGCTCCACACTAATCAGAGAGTTTGTCAGCAGAGCTATTAACTCTTGCTTTGGGAATCTGCAGGGGTTGGCACATGCAGAGAGTAGTACTAAGAAAGACAATAGTGCCAAAACTGGGCAATCCTTCAGAGCTGGCTGTGCTGCTGCTCAGAGAAAGAGTTTGGATTCTGTGATTCTAATAGAGATGGAAAGAAGCTATGAGGTCATCCAAGTCTTGCTCCCTGCCAAGAAAAGACTGCTCCCTGCAGTGCACTTTTGAGTGCTTTGCCTGCTTCTGTTAGAATATTTCAAATGATGGGGCTTCTTCGACTTCCTTTCAGGGCTTATTTCTGAGCTGAATTTATTTCAAATCCAGGAACCTGTGTCACTCTTTGATGCTTGGCATGAACCAATCTCAGCTTCCTCTTATTATTTCTACCTCTCCATGTCCAACTCAAAGGAGCTTTTCCCCAGTGCCCCTGTTCTTTTGCAATATAACTCAGCTGAAGAGATTGCCTTTTACCCTACCACTTGGCCAAGCCCCACATCTTGAACTTT